AATTTTGTTCTCCAATCAGTCCTATGTATGAACATTTGGGCTGTATCTATTATCTGACCTTAAAACAGACTACAATTCTTTGAATTCGTCTCGGGGAAAATTTACTTTTGTGACAGCCACCCAAATTAAAACAAATAGGCCTATATGATCTTGTCATTTGATTTTCTATTCAAGTACTGCTGACATTTAGAATGGATATGCCTAGAACAAAAAAGCACGTGGAAGATGTATGTTATACTGTGCATATTGCATGTATTGTATACATTATAATAGGGTTTATTGTGAATATCTGTAAGTATGGATACTTTCAATCCTTATTGTTCCTAAACAAAAAATATTATATCTCTGAAACTTTTATATGTTTAAGTGAACATGTCAGAGATTACATTTCATGAAAAATGTTGTCAAGGTCACGTGATCCACAAGGTCAATTTCAAGGTCAAATCTTAGGTCAAGAGGTCAAAGTACCCCAACATGTCCAAATTTTCAAAATGGCGGTAGATTTGGAATCCTTATTGAATACCCTTTCCAACAATACACATTTTGTGAAGATTGACCCATTAGGTCCTGAAATACAAGGGTTCAAAGGTAGGCCCGCCACCCCCATTTTTGAAAAAATCTCAAAATTTGGTGGGCCGTATCTCCCAAACCCCTTATCCGATTGACCTAAAAGTTTGGATTTGGTGCTGTGAGATCACACTCAACAAGTACACTAAGTTTCATCAAAATCAAAAATGGTCGGGTTAAAACCATTGAGTGATTTGACATGGAATGACCCACAAGGCAAAAAGTGACTACTATTCAGAAGCAGTTTTTCCAGTACTGCAGATTTCCAGGAGTTGTGGGTGCTGTTGATGGGACACATGTTTACATCAGGAGCCCTGGTGGGGCAAGATAGCCAGGTACTACTTCAATAGGAAGAACAGGTACTACGTCGATGTTCAGGCAAGAATAAATGAATACATCATGACTGGATCCGGCACGGCTTTCCCTTTAGGCCTTTATTTTTTAGGTTGCAAAATTTTCAGATTAGATATATATACACTCTCCAGTCTTGTGTTGTACATCCATGCTAATTCATTGGTGACCAATGCAAGATTTCTAGTGGCCAAATGAATATTAAAGTAATATTCCCGTACCGGTACTCATTTCACTGCCTTTGTACGCAGTTAAGATTATCCAATGAATAGTTAAACTTAAAAATCCTAACACTCAAAACTTGTTCCATCCTTCTATTGGCAATACGGAAATGACCTCTAGATTTCTGATAATTTTTTGATCGGATGGCCATGGCAATTGGGACACTGTTTTTGCCATTGATCAATGAAAGAACAAAACACAAAGAGAAGCATGTAAATTGATCAATGGCAATTACCACTTTTTTTTTAAACTATAGAAAAACAAACAGGTTCATTTAAAAAGATGAGTGCATGGGTACCCCCCCCCCCATACAAACAAAGCATTTGTTGTTGTTTAAGGCTCGAAATGTTTTGTTAACAGTGAGATTATTTTTGTTTACATTGTTATAAGATAAACAATGAAAAACATGAGTTAAAAATGAGGAAATACTTCATCAGTCAATATATATAGGGTAATTAGCATTTTCTTCCAATTTTTGTTCTATAAATAAATATTGAAAAAGAAATTATCAAATATTGAACTGCATTTGCATTAATTACCATGAATAAGAAGTGAAATTGATACATTTCACTAGGTATCACAGTCAAATTTTAAAAGTTTCTAAATTTCACTTGACTTCCCCTGCCCATTTCCTTTTTGAGCACATGAAAAGAAGAATTTTGATACCTCATTTCTCAAATTTGAATAAGTACTTTTAAAAATACGGCCAATTACATAAGAGACGAAATGGTCAAATTTTTTGTGTAATTAGGCTATAACTGACAATTAGCCATTTTTAAGGTGATATAATTTTGTAATTAATTGATGAATCACCTTTTTTTTTCCAAGAAATCTGTTCTCTGTATGGATTTCTACATGCCTATTTTTTTTCAGGTTCTTTTGATAATTTTTTTTTTTGGTGGAATTTTTCAAATAATTATATGAAGCCCATTTTGATGCATGTGACAAAATGGCTATTTTTGCGTCGCCGGAACAAGTTTTCATGGGTTTTGAAACATGGCTAGATTTAAGAGTGTCTATTAAAAGGGGCTGAATTTCGACATATCTGGGGTATATATATAGATTAATTATTTCTGTAAGTTTGGACCGTCAAATCCATTTAAATTAATTTTAAATGGCATTTGAAAATGGCTCTAAACTCTTCAAGAAGTCCAGGTAGACAAAGGAACATCCCTTCACTGCTATTGTGTAAAAATGTGTAGAACAGGTGTCACACGCATATTCACCTGTTCTACACATTTTTACATAATAGCAGTGAAGGGATGTTCCTTTGTCTACCTTCGGAACTGTATATTTTGTCCGCTTTCTTTGTCCGTCATTTTCATAGTGTCAGGGTACAGCTGTATTCATGGGATTTGCGCCCAAGCACCATCTCGCGGTCATTCTTATTATTTACATGATTGTATTCTCCAATAAATAAATAAATAAATAAAAAGTAAATTTTCTTTCTTCTCGTATCAAAATTGAATTAAAAGTATGTTTTTCTGATATAGACAAATTGTTTCAAACTTTTCACTCTGATTTTTCACGATCTTTTTTAAAACATACCCCCATCATTTTTTTTTTATGAAAATAAAGATTAAAGCGTATCTGCCATAGTTTACAGGAGGGATTAGACTGCCCTGCAAGGTCACTGGACAGGTGGTTATCTCATATCAACTCAGCTCTCAGTTAACATAAGAAAAAGAGGATCATGGGGGATCAATGGTCACCGATTAGGCATGGTTTGTTATATAGAGGGCGCAAGTAGCTACAAGTAGTGTAGTGGGCCTTTAAGATGTGCTTTTTCCAACCAGTGGATTTTTAAAACTCAAAGACAAATGGTGTTAAAGCGCATTGAGCCAAAACTAGCCATACGAATCGGCAATCAAATAAAAATGGGGACAAACGAAGTGACACGGTACGAATTAGAGGGTAAATCTCAAGCAACTGTGTCGTAAGTAATTGATGGATTTTGATGAAAATGACATGACATGAAAGACAGAATCCTGAGCTTTTTTATAATATTTATTTTTTTCCATGATATGAAAATCTTCCTTGATAAAGAGAGAATTGAGCTCTGCGTGTCCCCACTCGACGCAGCTCTTCTGTGATACCTAATTTCACAGCCAATCTGAAGTGTGAAATGAGTGAGTTTTCATAACTAATGAATGCCAACATGTTATTTCATATTGACAGGTTGTCTGTGATTATGCTGGGAAAATAACTAGTATCGTTGCAAGGTGGCCTGGACTGGTAGCAGCCACGATGCCAGAATCTTTTCTTAGTGTGCACTAAATTGACAGCTTATACATATGGCATATAGGGTAGGTAGCTTATTTCTTCATATGAAAACATTTGTTTATTCTTTTTCTTACTCAATCTTGTTTCCTTTTTTTGTATTTTGGCCAACATGTGATATGTAAATTATTAAGTTATTAATTCAAACGAGCTCATATGTGCTTTTAAATTTCAGTTCACAAATCACAATTAATGTTTTTGATATCTGGATGCAACTTGATTAGTTTGTTGTCAAGTGGAACCTCATAGTTTTTGTATTAGCGACACAGGATTGAATAATTCCTGATTATGTGTACAATACATGTTAGCCTTTTCTATAGTATTCCCCCCTTCCAAGAAAAAAAAATGAACAAGTTTGTTATAGGCAGAAATTGAATTTAGGCCCTCTGCGGCAGGTTAGAAGGTGGTAGCTAGGGAAACAAATTTGTAGTTGTTGGAAGAATGTAGGAAGGCCTACCAGTTTTCAACCTCCTTCATAAGCTTTATAAGCTCCATAACAGGCAGAAAGTGAACTCTATACTATGACCTCTGTTAATCATCGCTTGAATATGTTCATCGGAATTAAGTCTTCATGTGATTATGATATTATAACTATAATGGAAACAATTGGACATTTTCAGACTGAGTCAATTTGTGCTACACGAATGTCGGTATGTGGAACATGTGTGACGACAATCGCATCAAGATCATTGCAAGGGATGGCATAGGTATGTCATTAAGTATGTGTGCACATTAAATGAGCAGAGACTTGAAAGAGCGATGAAGAGAGCAAAGAAGAGCTGCATGTGGAGTGTTTGGAACGAGTAGCCTAGTCTAACAAAGTTAAGCAGTGACACTGTCAGACTGAAGTGATGAGTGATACCATAGACCTACCACCAGTGGTGGTAGGTCTATGGTGATACTAGTGATAGAAAGGTGTAAAATGAATTTCACAGTAGCAGACGACATAACCTACACAGTTACACTACAGTAGTAGTCTAGGACGAAGACTAGTCACTGTCTCTGTCAGATATTATTTGGACCCAACTACAAGTATTCCCACTGGGCCATATGGCAATATCATTAGTTGAAAACTGAGGCTTGCCTTTAGTTTATGAAGAATACTAGATTTAGAGTTATTGCTTCACTTCAGTTGAATTAAGTCAGTCATGAATAGTGCGACCTATGATCCAATATTTAGTGGTAATCTGGATGATGACCAGGGACTATTTGAATTTGGATTGGATCTGGAAGAAGCCAGAGGTACTACAGATGATGTTGGGAATGTACCACTAATAGAACCAAGTGATAGTATTTCAAATGTTAGTGCACCAAGATTTGCACCCAAGATGAAGAGTTATGGGTCACACTCGGTTGTCAGTGGGGCAAGCAACTGGAGTGCTGCATCTCGGGCTAAAGTCGAAGCACCAGCAAGCCATGCAGAACTTAAAGTAAAGGCAGAAGTTCTCAGAAAGAAATATTAACTAGAAAGTGAGATACAATTACTGCAGAGAAGGAAGGAGCAGTTAGAATTAGAAGCAGAAGTAGCTGCAGCAAGTGCAAGATTGGCAGCTATTCAACAGGTGGAAGCTTCACAATACCAAGGTTAAGGTCAAGTTCAAAGACAGTTTGCAAGTGAAACTTCACAAAGACAGCCAGGATACATTCCTCCTTCATCTGTAGCTCATGAGAGAACAACTCAACGTGCTGATAATGCACAAGGTGAGAATCAGCCAGTGTTTGACCTTTCCGCATATTTAATGCAACAAACTGATGTAATTCAAAGACAAAATGACCTCACCAAGGTTTTAGTGGAATGCCACCAAAGAGCATCATTGCCTCAGAGAACTTTGTCACCATTCAATGGAGACCCGTTGCAATACAATTCCTTTATGAGAGCATTTCACCATAGTGTTGAGGAGAAGAATTCAAATCCTAGAGACAAGTTATGTTATTTAGAACAATTCACGAGGGGTGAAGCTAACACAATGGTGCGAAGTTGCATGTACAATGCAGATCCTGAGATAGCCTACAAGCAGGCCAAGGAAGTTCTTCAGAAGAATTATGGCAACAAATACAGGATTACAAATGCCATAATCAAGCGTATGGAGGAGTGGCCAGAAATAAAGACCGATGATGCAGAGAAGCTCAATAACTTTTCGCATTGCTTGACCGAGCTTCTGAACACTGCCAAGGATTTGAAACAGTGCAATGAAATTGATCATTCTAACAATGTCAAGATAGCTATCTCCAAGTTGCCATATCGCCTAAGGGAAAATGGCGTCATACTGCTGACTACATTCAGGAAGAAAAGGGAAAGTGTATCCAGTTTGAAGATGTGGTGACGTTTGTGGCCAAGGCAGCTCGTGTGCTATCTAACCCTGTGTACGGAGACATTACAGGGCCACAAAGAAGAAGCGACACTACACATTCCAATATAAGCCAACCCGGAAAAAGGAATGAAAGACAAGGCTTTGCTACAAGCATTTCTAGTCAAAGGCAAGAAAGGTCAAGTTCTGACAAATACTGTCTTTATTGCAGGGTTTGAGATTTGGAGACTTGTAGAAATTTGGGAGCCAAGCCACATGAAGAACGCATCGAGTTTTGCAGATCACAGGGCTTATGTTTCTCCTGTCTCAAGAAAGCATCACATTTTGCAAAGGAGTGCAGGAGTAGGCTGAAGTGTACATTGTGCCAAAGGACGCATCCATCAGTACTGCACAGACAATTTCAAAAGGGAACCTCAATTCCAAACCAAGATGGTGTTCCAAAGTCTCAGAAAGAAGTTCCAGTACATAAGGACACAGTACATGAGGACACTTATGCTACTTCTACTAACAGTGGAAGTCCCGCTACAGACAAATCAGAGGATGGTGTAAAACGCACATTGTCAAGTTTCAGCAGTGGATCCGGCAGCCTCCCTGTTGTGATTTCTGTAGTGGTGCGCTCAAAGGAAAGTGGAAAACAAATACAGACATATGCATTTCTGGACAGTAGACGCAATGCAGTTTTTGTTAGCCAAGACATGAAGGACAGACTCCAGCTATCTGGAAAAAGGAAAAACATACAATTGCAAACCTTGACAGAGAGTAAGACCGTAAACTGTGAAGTAATCAACGATATAGAGGTTCTAGACTTAAAAGAGGAGAACAACCTTCAAATCAGAGAAGCATTTGTCCAGCAGTCTATTCCAGTTGGGAAAGAGGAAATTCCAACACAAGCCAAGTTGAAGCAGTTTCCATACCTCCACCATATTCAGTTGCCAGAGATTGACGAGGATGTGGGCATACTAATTGGAAATAACATTCCAAAAGCGTCAGAACCGCTGGAAGTTATCCACAGTGAACATGATGGTCCTTTTGCATTTAGAACCTTGTTAGGTTGGGCAGTGTATGGTTTATCCAAGTCTGACGAGTCACAAAGGATTTCAGCTCATCATGTTTTGGTCCAAGCAGATATTAATCAGCAGCTGGTAGATATGTTCAACCAAGACTTTAGTGAAAGGGTGATAAATGATGAACCTGAGAAGTCAAGACAGGATAGGCAGTTTATAGACTCAGTTGAAGGATCTATTCAGCATGTAGATGGGCATTATGAGATTGGTCTGCCTCTAAAAAGCCAAAGTATGAAGATGCCTAACAATAAACCTCAGGCTGAACAGCGTTTAGCACATCTACAGAGGAAGTTCATGCGTCAGCTACAATTTCACAGAGAATACAAGGACTTCATGCACAAGGTAATAGATCAGAACTATGCTGAAATGGTGCTAGACAAGGAACTTAATTCAGAGAAAGAATGGTCAAGTCTGGTACATCCCACACCATGGTGTCTACCATCCTCAGAAAAGGAAACTACGAGTTGTATATGACTGTGCAGCTGCCTACAGGGGGCAGTCCCTAAACCAAAATCTTCTACATGGGCCGGACCTGACAAATTGCCTGTTGGGTTTTCTGACCAGATTCCGTCAAGATCACATTGCAGTCATGGCAGATATTGAGGCGATGTTTTCTCAACTAAGACTACGGAAAGAAGACAAGGATCTCCACAGGTTTTTGTGGTGGCCTGATGGCAATATCGAACGACCAATCAAGGAGTATCGCATGAATGTCCATGTATTTGGGGCCACCTCCTCACCAGCATGTGCCAACTATGCTTTGAAACAGACAGCAGAACAGTGTGAACATGAAGAAGTTGCACATATCATACAACACGACTTCTATGTAGACGATTGTCTATACTCATCCTCTACTGTTGAAAAGGCTGTATAGCTCTCAAAAGGGCTACAAGCCACATGTGGAAGAGGAGGTTTCCACCTCACCAAAAGGAACAGTAACCATAGGGCAGTTTTGCATGCAATACCAAAGGACGAGAGAGCCAGCAGCGTTCAACGGCTAAACTTTGAAAAGGACAAACTTCCACAGGAAAGAGCTCTTGGGATACTTTGGAATGCTGAAACAGTCGACTCATTCGGCTACAGCATCAAGATCAAGGATCGGCCGCCAACAAAAAGGGGCATGCTATCAATCATCAGCTCAGTGTATGACCCATTGGGTTTTGTGTCTCCTGTGATCTTAACAGCAAAACAACTACTACAAGACCTATGTAGACTCAAGATAGGATGAGATGATGAGATACCAGCCAAACAGATGAAATTGTGGCAAGGCTGGTTAGAGGAACTTCCGATGTTGTCAGAGTACAAGATAGAAAGATGTCTGAGGCCAGCCTCATATGAGCAAGCAGAATCTATCTCCCTCCATCATTTTGCAGATGCCAGCGAGGTTGGATATGGGACAGTCTCCTACCTCAGAATGGAAAATAGTGAAGGAGAGACCAGGTGTTCATTCCTGCTGAGTAAATCAAGAGTAGCACCCCTTAAGCAAGTATCTATCCCGAGAATGGAATTGACTGCAGCAAGCGTGGCAGTGAAGATAGATCAGGTAATCAAAAGGGAGTTACCAGTCAAGAGGACCTATTTTTGGACCGACAGCCAGACTGTATTGCGCTACATTCACAACACAACAGCAAGATTCCAGACATTCGTAGCTAATAGGCTAGCAGTGATTCAAGACGGCTCTAGTCCGGACCAGTGGCATTATGTCAAATCAAGTCTCAATCCAGCAGACGCAGGCTCAAGGGGGTTGAAAGTACAAGAATAACTGTTGAATGAAGAATGGAAAAGTGGCCCAGAGTTTCTTCTGAAATCTGAAGAATGGCCTAAGACACCTGACATGTCTCGTGATGGAAAGAATGAGCAGCTTGAGATCAAGAAAACCTGCATGGTGGGTTTAACAAGGCCTGGAGGAGAAGTTTAAACAGTACACAAGTTGATCACATATTTCTCAGATTGAACAAGGTTACGAAGGGCTGTTGCTTGGTGGCTAAGGCTCAAAGGAAAACTGAAAGAAAGGGCCAAGTTGTCCTTGGATAAAGTGTGTTCTGACACCCTTACAGTAGCAGAAGTGAATGGTGCAGAATTGGCTATCGTTCGGTGGGTGCAATCTGAGTCCTTCCAAGAAGAAGTAGAAGCCTTGAATCAGAAAGGAAATCAGCCAGGAAAGGCCATACGCAAGAGCAGCAGCATCATAAAGCTAGATCCAGAAATGCATGACAATGTACTGAGGGTTGGCGGACGACTAAGGAATGCCGAGATTGATGGAAATGCAAAACATCAGGTGATCTTGCCCAAAAAGCACCATGTGTCTACCTTGATAGTAAGACATGTTCATCAAAGTGTAGCACACCAAGGTCAAAACCATGTTCTAGCAGAACTTCTTCAGAAGTACTGGATAATTGGAGCAGGTGTGCTGACAAAGACAATCATCAGACAATGTGTTACATGCAGAAGGTACCAAGCCAAAACAAACACACACACGATGGCAGATCTTCCAAGGCCTAGGGTTGCAGCATGTGAACCTCCTTCCACATATACAGGCATGGACTATTTCGGGCCTTTTGAGACGAGGCGTGGTCGAAGCATGCAGAAACGTTATGGTGTTGTGTTCACCTGTATGACCAGCCGAGCAATACACATAGAAGTGGCAAGTAGCTTGGACATCAGTTCTGCCATAGATGCCATAAGACGATTTGTTAGTCGAAGAGGTTCTGTTAAGACAATGTATTCAGACAATGGCACAAATTTGGTGGGTGCCTGTAGTGCGTTGAAGCAGGCTCTACAAGAATGGAGTCAGGAGCAGATCATGAACTTTTGCTGTAATCATGGAATTCAGTGGAATTTCAATCCACCTGCTGCATCACATTTTGGAGGAATATGGGAACGACAAATAAGAACTATCAGAAAAATCCTTCATGCCATACTACATGAACAGTACTTGAAAACTGCCCAGAGTGATGAACAGCTTCACACCTTAATGTGTGAGATAGAGGCAGTTATAAACAGTCGGCCTCTAACAAGAGCTTCAGTGGACCCCAATGACCTGGATGTCATTACACCTAATCATCTACTACAGGCCAAGATGACTACAATTCCACCCCCAGGGCGCTTCTCAGAGAAGGATGTATACTCTAAGAAAAGATGGCGGCAGATGCAGTTACTAGCAGATACCTTCTGGCGGAGATGGGTGCGTGAGTACCTTCCTACCTTGCAGCAACGGCAGAAGTCGGCCCAACCAAATCGCAGTCTACAAGTGGGAGACGTCGTCTTGATTGCTGATAAGGACGCGCCTAGATGTTGCTGGCAGATGGGACGAGTGGAGGAAGTATATCCGGGTAAAGATGGTCTAGTTCGCAGTGCAAGGATAAAGACAAAATCCACAACACTCACGAGGCCAGTGATATAAAGCTGTGTTCGCTCCTGGAAGCAGAATAGTGCTCAACTCGTATCATTTGGAATGTGATAGCATGTTTTTTGTGAAGTTTGGATCACTGTGAATTTAATTTGGATCAAGAAAATTGGAGCCTTGCAACGGCCATGTGGAATGTGATAAAATACCTTTGTGAAATTGGTGCGAGCCAAGCGCCGCCTATGAAAATTGTTTTGTGATCAACGTCAATTCTTGCAACCGCCATGTGGAAGTGATAAAATACCTTTGTGAAATTGGTGCGAGCCAAGCGCCGCCAATGAAAATTGTTTTGTGATCAACGTCAATTTTTGCAACCGCCATGTGGAAGTGATAAAATACCTTTGTGAAATTGGTGCGAGCCAAGCGCCGCCAATGAAAATTATTTTGTGATCAACGTCAATTTATTGGATCAAGAGCATTTCCAGCAACTTTAAAGCAACATGTTTTGAAAGCAATTTATAAATCGCGAGTCATGTTCCTTCTGTGATGGAGAATAATTAATTTTATCGGATAAGCAAGTTGGACGCAGATTCAAGTGTTTGAAGCGTGATAAATGATCAGCTGATAAAGTAATTTCAGAAGAATTTCACTAACTGCAACATTTGAACAAAAAAAACAAGACATATGAAGAACAATTTGTGATGTCCATAAGCATTCAGACTTTCAGAGAATAGCAACAAAGACAGGAGGACATTATATTAAATGTTTGCATTAATTGAGTATTTGAGATTCAGTGAAATTGAATAAGTTTTTTATATGGATATTTTGTCAGGCTAAACAATGTTTTAAACGTTTGATAAAATTGCAAAATGATGTTTTGTATTTTGACAGGTATTAAATCACAAGTGGTGCAGTGACACTATTTGTTTTGATCAGCCACCTCGATTTCATAGGCAAAGAATTTATATGATTCAGATTTGGAATTATCAGTTTGGAAAAAGGTTTAGATTTCCAAAGGTTTAGATTTCCAAAGGTAGATATGCATTTTGTGCAGGAACAATGGCTGAATTGTTCAATTCAAATAAGTGTTACTTACAGGTTGTAATACAAGACAATATGGCCCGAATTCACAAAGCAAGGTTTGAGCTCAGACCAAGGTGTATGTGCGTCATATGACGCGTTTCAGGTTTGAGTTCAGACCTTGGTCTGAAATGCATTTCACAAAGCCGGTTTGTCCTCAGACCAAGGTTTATGTACGTCATATGACGCGTTTCAGGTTTGAGTTCAGACCTTGGTCTGAAATTACATTTCACAAAGCAAGGTTTGTCCTCAGACCAGGTTTATGTACGTCATCAGACCCGAAATTTACAGACTGCTCAGATAGGAGGTTTGTAATTTCTCAAACCTGGTTTGAGAGCTATCAACCAATCAGGATGCAGCGCTGGGTGGAGATAATTTATGCTCGATTGATTTTATCCAAATAATTCACCGCCAAAACAATCTGCGATAGTATCTGGTCAGCCCGATTTTAGTGCAATTGAAATCTCTCAATCTCTTGATCCTTTCCTTAAAATCGTAAGTATAAAAGCTGTACATGTAGTCGAATTCATACTCTTCACGTTACTGACATTTCACTATTTGATATGCTTTATAACTTTCCATTTTCCATGAAATGTTCGGTGTTTTCATATCCGACGGCCTCTCAATTCCAGAGTTCAGGGACTGTGTCTGAGGGAGCTCGAGTCCAACGCCCAAGGCGGCGGCGGAGCTCGCACCCTCTGACCCTGGGCTGGAGTTGGGCCTAGCCGGGCCTACAGTAGATAACTGAGTATGACTGTCATGTTTAATTTTGTCTTGTTGTCAGCAATGCCATGACACATGCCAATTAGACTAGGCCTAGACCTACACTAGTTATTACAAATTCATAATAATGATAATAATACCAGGCTCTAGCTTAGGCCTGGCAATGATGTCCATGCATCACTTGACTTGGACACACTGGTACCTACATAAATAAATAGAAATTGAAGTGGCATCAGCAATGCAATGTTCCCCAAAATGAATCACACTGACAAGCATAGACCAAAAGCTTCATGCAGTCTCTCTATATTGCCAGTTGTTCACTGAG